GCTGTGCTTTAACCACTTCACCACCAGGGGCTCCCTCGCTCCTGAATAATTTTACAGAGATAGAGGATATGGAATGATCTTTACTTTATCAGAAAGTATCTACCACAATTTTCTGCCCCTGACACATGGACTTGGATTTTAGATCTGTAGTATTTCCTAAAAAACATTTGAAGACTAGGTATAATATACTGACAGTACAAAATAAAAAAGGGGGGGCTGTGCTGTGAGACATATAAATAATATAAAAATTTCAATTATAGATTTTTTTTTCCTGAAGTGAGGGTTTTTTCATTTTCTTTGTGATACTGCCATTATTATGTCTGTCCTGCTTACTTTATTTTGCTTGTAAAAATGCCTCTTTCACTCACAGGTGTGGACTCTTGGCTGGAGCTAAGAGCATGAGTGGAAAGACATCTTCAGAACCCACAAGTACTGCCAACTTTTAAGCCACCTGATCTTAAGAGCTAGTGTGCCTCTAGTACTATGTGTGCTGAATGGATTTCCTGCATAAACAAGAGTCTGTAGTGCCAGAATGCAATAAGAAAGACCCTTACATTGCTAAAGCAGCACCACTTGCACCTGGCCCAGTAAAAAAATCCTTCCTGTTTGATATCTGTACTGTTTAATCCAGTTATGAGGACTTCAAAATCTCTGCAGGATTTCGCGTATCCTCTGCATGAACAGCTGGCAAGGGAAGAACAAAAATGCTGCTACTAAAAACATTTCCTGGTTGCTTATTTGTCACAGGGCTTAGTGTCTTGGTGTTGCTCTCAGAGCATCTCTGCATCAGTGGCATGATGCTATCACAGTAGAGAAAACAGTCAAATCACAACTAAAAAAGATGGACCCTTCTCCAAGACATTACCGGTACTCAGGCACAATCCTCCCTGTTCTTTTTATCAGAGAGCTGCTTCCTTTTTTTTCCTTCTCTCATGTTTCAAACAAGTTTCTCACTTTTGGAAACATCATTTTTCAAACTAAATTTCCTTTTCTCTACTTCCAAACACCAAAAGACATCACCAAAGAGCAGTCTGTGAAACAGAAGCAAAAATACGACACACTAAGATGAACTGTATAATTTGGGTTTGTTTTGTTTTCCCCTGTAGATGGACTGAAACATGATTACAAATCAAAGTATATCTTGAAGAGCAGGAGGAGGGCAAAAATGTTGATGGGTGTAAGAGGTCTGGTCCACCGAGACTAAGGTTGCCCTTTTCTAATTAAGCAGTGATGTAAATTCCCAAAAGAAAAAAAGAAAAAAACAAAACAGTTGTAGCAATACTACTGCTTCAGCAAATGGAAGGCCTTTTGCACAGATTAATATTGTTTGAATCTGTGTGTCAGAAACAGGATACCTAATTCCTTGTGAGGGGATGTTGCTTTAATTACACACTTCAGATGGGTCCTTCTTGGCTCATGAAGCCTCAAGCACTCCTGAGAAAATTCTTATGCTGTGCTGGAAGCCATCTGGGGAGGTCTCTGATGTGAATGTGCAGAAAAGGCATTCACTGGGGAAAATTCTGCTCTTACGTTGTTTTCTAAGGATCATCAGCAATTCCTAAACTCAGAAGATCTACTCAGCAGTATGGTCTGCAGTGAATCATCAAGCACAAACCAAGAACTCACACAGAGCCTACTATAAAAGGAAGGGGAGGAAAAACGACTTCACATTACAGAAACAAATCAGGAAGAAAGAAGAGTTCCTCTCTCTGCAGACTATTCCTGCATGTCTGCAGATATCTGTCTGTTAAGAGATAAGACAGATATATATAGTTTCCAGTCTAATGTGGGAACTCGTACAACCATGAAAACAACATAGATGGGAAAGAATCACAGTGAGCCTCAGCCATAACCTAAAATGATACAAAACAAGCAAATGAAAGAAGCAGACATAGTATTGTTTTGGGTTTTTTTAAGGAGTACTGTAAGCAAAAGAGGAACAATATATGGTGATTCCACACAGCAAAAAATTCTTTTTGATTTTGTTTGACAGTTTGTTAAAGCTAAGATCTTTATCCAGGAGAAAACATCAGTGGCTGCTTGAGCCCTGCAAAACTCAGCGTGAGACTTAAGAGCTAAATGCTGTAAGAAATGTCCTGGTTTGGCTGCACAGGGCCAAATCCCATACACACAGCTAGTATGATGAATTTTATTTTTTTTTACCCTTGCAGTATTAAAAAAATCCTGGTAGTGAGAAACGTTGAAGCTTCAAAGAGATGGTCATCACTTAAAAGTCTTTAGTTAGCCTTTTAGCTAACCGCTAGGCTTGCATCCCTAGGTTGCTGAGCTAGAAAAAATGGCAATTGATCATTATATTCACAAATAAAATACTATCTAAATTTACTAATAGCAGAAGACAGAAGTACTCAGATCTTGCAGAGCACTCAGCCCTGCACATATGCATTGCACATACAGATCATCTTTGACTTCCTCTAGATTTCAGGGGAATTTGGAGCATTCCTAACAAGACAGCAGCCCTTGACACTGTCACCTAAGCAGTCACCTAAGCCATATAAGTCATATAACGAGCAGGTTAAATCTAGAGTCCTCAGAATAGCCACTGTCTAGCCTACAGTCACTCTCAACAGAGGTATTTTTTTTCTTGTAGAAAGACCTTGGAAAAAAAGAATCAACACTTCTACACTGTTTTTAAAATTGATTTTGTAAGTGACTGTCTGGGATGGTGCAACAGAAGTATAAGCTGTTGCCCAGGTAAAGTTTGGAGTTGATAAAATGCAGCTTTGCTTTGAGGGATACCCACAGAAACTTGAATAAAAACAAGATAAAAATTTGAACATGAAACCTGTGTAATCTTTCAGACTTGTTGTGATTATTCTGATCTGTCCTGTGAACAAGAGACTGCAAGACCTGACTTCACCTTTGCATTTTGTTGTTTTTCTTATAGCTCCAAAACTACATTCACTGAAGAACACGTGGACTGCCCTACAAAACTACAGTAAGTTTACTTGGATAGTTTTGAAATTTAATCAGCATTTTATAACCAGCAGTCATAGCCAAGTAAGCCATGAAAAGTGTATTCAATAAGATGTTCTCATTTTATGCAGTTGTTGGCAGGGTGTGTGTTTGTGGGTTTGTGTGTGTGTCCCAAACTGGGAACAGAGAAGGGGAATTATTATTTCATATCACAGAATCATAGAATCATTAAAGTTGGAAAAGACCTCCAAGATCATGGAGTCCAACCTCTGAAAAAACACCACCACATCAATTAGACCACACACTAAGTGCAACATCCAGTCATTTCTGGAACCCTTCTAGGAACAGTGTCTCCACCACCACCTTGGGCAACCCATTCCAATGCTTAACCACCCTTTCAGTGAAGAAATTCTTCCTGATGTCCAACCTGAACCTCCCCTGGTGCAGCTTGAGGCCATTTCCTTGTGTCCTGTCACAGGCACAGAAGAAGAGGCCGACTCTCATTTCACTGTGACCTCCTTTCCGACAGTTGTAGAGAGTGACAAGGTCTCTCCTGAACCTCCTCGTCTCCAGACTAAACAACTTCAGTGGGTCCTCCTCTAGACCCTTCACCAGCTTTGTTGCCCTTCTCCGGACACACTTCAGCAACTTTTGTCTTTCACTATTTTATCTGGTACAATGTAATGGCCAGTCTCTTCGCAAACAAAGAACCGGGGAAGGTCTTTACACCTTCCAGCCTGTGCATTGGATTTTTTAGGTGAGACACAGTGTGCGCGGAACTGAGCCCACCCTTTAATCCTAAGGTTCATCTGCCAGGGCCAAGCAAGCTTGGACAGTGGCAGCGAGATCCTCAGGACGTAGATGGATTGCCTTACAGGGCTAACGAGCTCCATCTGCCTGGGGAGTGTCCTGATCGGGAATCGAACCCGGGCCTCGGCGGTGATAGCGCCACGTCCTTAACCACTAGACCACCAGGGGCTCCCTTTATCTGGTATACTATGATCCATGCCACCATGCTTACTATAAAATGGATTCTAATGGATTTTTCCACATTATTATTACAAATGTTTTCTGCAAGTTCCAAATCCCAAATCATCACTTTGATATTAATGAGAAACTACATACTGAAGTCTTCCAAGTAGCATACAAAGAAACTGGAATAAGGGCGTGGAGAACTAACCTCATCTGGCAAATGTAATTTTTTGCATTTCATGTCAGTAAAAAAAAAAAAAATAAAAAAATGTTCATTTGTTTACCTAGAGTGCTTCAATACTGCTGTTCATATCTAGTGATACTTCACACTGAAAAAGTAACAGGATGTACAGGAGATTTGTTGCTATTAATAGTTTGTTCATGAAGCAGAAATAGAAGGCAGACATTGTCATAGGAAAATAACTTTACAAGTTTGTTTAAAATAACATAAAAAGTGC